AATTATTCCAAAGTCAATACTTTATTATAATAAAAAGTATGGACAAAGAAGAAGATATGGCAGGGGCTGGCGCTGTGGTGTAGTGGGTAAAGTCGCCGCCTGCAGTGCTGGCATCCCATATGGGCACTGGTTTGAGTCCCAGCTGCTGCACTTCCAATCCAGCTCTCTGCTATGGCCTGGGAAAGCAGTGGAAGATGGCCCAAGTGCTTGTGCCCCTGCACCCACATGGGAGACCTGGAAGAAGCTCCTGCTCCTTGCTTCAGATTGGTGCAGCTCAGGCTGTTGCAGCCAATTGGGGAGTGAACCAGCGGATGGAAGACCTCTCTCTCTCTCTCTCTTACTCTCCTTCTCTTTGTATGTAACTCTGACTTTCAAATAAATAAATCTTTTTTTTAAAAAGAAGATATGGCAAACATGAACCATTAGGTCCCCCAAAAAACTTAGAATCAAAGTAATTTAAGGAAATAGTGTAAAAATAAAACAATAAGCTTCAAAAATGCAATCATAGTAGGTTAACTTAATATGCTACTCAGCAGCTGATAGATCAAGCAAACTAAACAATAAGCATCTAAAATATAAAAAGTAAATAATTAAAAAACATATTCTATATAGAATGAAGAATATGTATTACATCTTTTAATAGCATAAATCACAGATAATATATGGTTTTATATCATATGACATGTTTAGATTACATAATGTATTATATAAAAATTATATATTTATGTCTATTTTATATACAAAAATTATGGTATTTATTTTTTGAAGTTCTCATGGAAAAATTTTTAATAAAAAACAATAAATCAATAAATGTGTAGTGTGCAAAGTCACAAAGGAATTATCAATATATTGCCCCTAATTGATTTCATGCAAGCTGTTCTCTCAGATCATAGGCAATAATAGACATAAACTGCTGAAAAATAGCTCTAAATAATCTACTCACTCGGAAACATACAGGTAGTGTATATAATCCACATTTTAAAAAGAAGATATCTGAAACATACTGAAGTGGAAATGAATGCAATTAAACTATGTGTATCAAAATCATAGGATGTTCTTGCTTTGTCTTTGAGATCCTAATTTTGATTCTTTGGGATGTATACCCCCAAAAGGGGTTTCTAGGTCATAGAAAAGATCCTTTTTTTGAAGATCTATTTATTTATTTGAAAGAGTTACACAGAGAGAGAAGGAGAGGCAGAGAGAGGAGAGAGAGAGGGGTCTTCCATCCGCTGGTTCACTCCCCAATTGGCTGCAACGGCCAGAGCTGTGCAGATCTGAAGCCAGGAGCCAGGAGCTTCTTCTGGGTCTCCCACGTGGGTGCAGGGGCCCAAGGACTTAGGCCATCTTCCACTGCTTTCCCAGGCCATAGCAGAGAGCTGGATTGGAAGTGCAGCAGCTGGGACTCAAACCAGTGCCCATATGGGATGCCAGCACTGCAGGCCAGGGCTTTACCCGCTACGCCACAGTGCCAGCCCCCCATATAAAAATTTCATTTCTAAATTTTTGAGGACTATCTATACTGGTTTCCATTGTGATTGTACAGTTTTACATTCCTACCAAAAGTGTACAAGGGGTCCAATTTCTGCACATTCTAACACTTGACATCTACTTATGTATTTAGCATCTGTCATCTATCGATCTGTCTAATCTATCATCTTATCTATGTCGTGGCCATTCTAACAGATGATGGCAGATGAAGAGCTGTTCTTCAATAGCCTTAAAGTTTCAGTCAAGCAAGCTAAGTGAGCCCTAGAGATCTGCTACACAAGAATGGGCCTGTGGTGACAACACCTGATTACACATTTCAACGTTTGTTAAGCAGTCAGCTCTCACATTACGTATTCTTACCTAGTAAAAAATAAATAAATAAAAATAAAAGACTACAGCATATATCCCAAGAAATAGCAAGAGAAAACGTCTGAAGTTGTAAACATTTACAAGAAAATAAGAAAGAAAGAGAAAGTCAGTTTCCTAGAGAGATTGACTTGGCTCTTCCAGGCTAACAGCCAGACCACGTGAAAGGGGGCCAGACTCCTCCTCAGCTCCCTGCTCAGGAGACCATTTTCCAAGCTGGTCCAAGAGCTTCCTGGTGTCTGCCCAATGACCCCGTGTAATGAACACAGCTCTTTCACTGTCCCAGGTGTCCTGGTCACCCCCAGAGCTCTAGAGAAACCACCAACACAGGGAAAGGCGGCGAAGAAGCAGGTAAGCCTTTCTGCAGGAACAGGAGGAATGAAAAACTCGGGGAGCACCGTGCTGCTGCCAGCAAACATGTGATCTCTGCCAGCAACATGGTCGCCAAAATGCTAAAAAGCAAAAGGTATCCTGCAGGGCCCTCGATGTCATCAGTGTGCTCAGAAAAACAGTGTCCCCACCTCTTTCTCCGATGCTTGGGGGCAAGTACAAATATGATAGATTGTGAAAAATCACCACAGAACTGCAGATTGTTTGAGGAATCATCCTATTGCAAATAATATAGTTTCTTCTTTTTTTAAAAGATTTATTTTATTTATTTGAAAGACAGAGCTACAGAAAGAGGTCGAGATAGAGAGAGAGGTCTTCCAACCGCTTGTTCACTCCCCAGATGGCTGTGACAGCCGGAGCTACGCCGATCCCAAGCCAGGAGCCTCCTCCGGGTCTCCCTTGCGGGTGCAGGGGCCCAAGGACTTGGGCCACCTTCCACTGCTCTCCCAGGCCATAGCAGAGAGCTGGATCAGAAGAGGAGCAGCCAGGACTAGAACCGGCGCCCATATGGGATGCCAGCAATTCAGGCCAGGGTTTTAACCTGCTGTGTCACAGCGCCAGCCCCAGAATAGTTTCAACTGATATTCTGTTAAAAAATTATTTTTAAAATAGGATAAGGGAGGGTAGGTGGGTGACAGTTAAGACACTGCTGGGGTGGGCACTGTGACGTATCGGGTAAGGTCGCTGCCTGCAGTGCCAGCATCTCATATGGGCGCCGGTTCAAGTCTCAGCTGCTCCACTTCCAATCCAGCTTTCTGCTATGGCCTGGGAAAGCAGTGGAAGATGGCCCAAGTCCTTGGGCTCCTGCACCCGCGTGGGAGACCCAGAAGAAGCTCCTGGCTCCCAGCTTTGGATCGGCACAGCTCTGGACATTGCAGCCATCTGGGGAGTGAACCAGCGGATGGAAGACCTCTCTCCCTCCCTCTCTCTCTCTCTCTCTCTCTTCCTCTCCTTCTCTCTCTCTCTGTGTAACTCTAACTTTCAAATAAACAAAGAAATCTTTTTTAAAAAAAGACACTGCTTGGTACATGCACATGGCATGTAAGTGTGCCTGGGTTCCCATCCCTGCCTCTGCTCCTGATTCTGGTTTCCTGCTAAAGCACACCCTGGAAGGCAGCAGGTGATGGCTCAAGTACTCAGTGTCTTTCCACCCACGTGGGAGACCCAGATTGAGTTCCAGGCTCCTGGCTTTGACCCTGGCCCAGCCTTAGTCATTGTGGGCCTTGAATGAAACAATGGGATACCTCTCTCTATCTGTGTGTATGTGTGTGTGTGTGTGTGTGTGTATGTGTCTGTCTCTTCCATTCTCTGTCAAATAAAGTGAATAAATAAAAATACTTATTGAAGGTAAGCCTTCCAAAAAAATATGTTGTCTATGAGTGGGAGCCATGTCAGTTTACGGTGTGGGAGTTCACAGGGCAAACCCCAAAAGACTCTCAATCTTCTCGGGGCGGGGGGGGGGAAGGGGGGTAGGGAGGTCTTTTTGTTAGCTGCACTCCTGCACTCTGCCCTGAAATACAAAGTAGGAGTTCTATTCAGGAGACCCTGTTTGTCCCATCCACCCGGTAGTGAGGAGAACCTGGGTTTAGAAAGATACCACCCTCCCCAGCAATCTTTCTGGTTCCTTTTAAATATGAGAGACCTCTGGGAGCCTGCTTTACAAACTGCACAACTCCTCTAAACTGTAAGGGTTAGCATTATGACCGTGACCTTCCCGAGCATCATTCCCCTCATCGCAGAGAAACAGAGATACCACCATTTTCATTTTTTATTTTTATTTCAGAAAGCAAACTCTGGATGTGACCCAGGGATAGTGTTGTAGGTGACGGCATCACACATCGTAGTTCCTCAGCCAAACCAGCGCCCAACCAGATGAGTGGACTTCAAACAGTTCATGGATAACAAAACTGAAAGATAAGTTTATCTGGGTTGAAAACGTGGTCTTTAAAATCCATTTTTTCCTAATATGTGTTTTCCATGAACTTTTTGAAGATCGCCTGTGCAAGTTCCTTGAGATGTAAGCTAAAACCCAGGAGGGGCTCAGCTACCTTTTTGTTCTCTGTATTTGCATGAACCTCTCTGTCTGCTTCTCCTTGTCAGCATCCAGAAGACCCTGATGCAACACCACAGAACGATGTATCTGAAACTCCAAGACCAGGACTTTGTTTTTAACTTTTATTTAATGAATATAGATTTCCAAAGTACAGCTTATGAATACATTGGCTTCCCCCCCCCACCAATGACTTTCCTCCCACCCGCAACCCTCCCCTTTCCCACTCTCTCTCCCCTTCCATTCATATCAAGATTCATTTTCAATTCTCTTTATATACAGAAGATCAGTTTAGTATACATTAAGTAAAGCTTTCAACAGTTTGCACAAAGTGAAAAATACTGTTTGAGTACTCGTTATAGCATTAAATCTCAATGTACAGCACATTAAGGACAGAGATCCTACATGAGGAGTAAGTGCACAGTGACTCCTGTTGTTGACTTTACAAATTGACACTCCTGTTTATGGCGTCAGTAATCTCCCTATGCTCCAGTCATGAGTTTCCAAGGCTATGGAAGCCTTTTGAGTTCACCGACTCTTATCTTATTTAGACAAAGTCATAGTCAAAGTGGAAGTTCTCTCCTCCCTTCAGAGAAAGGTACCTCCTTCTTTGAAGACCTGTTCTTTCCACTGGGATCTCACTCACAGAGATCTTTCATTTAGGTGGTGTTTGTTGTTGTGTGTGTTTTTTTTTTTTTTTTTTTTTTTTTTTTGCCAGAGTATCTTGGCTTTCCATGCCTGAAATACTCTCATGGGCTTTTCAGCCGGATCTGAATGCCTTTAGGGCTGATTCTGAGGCCAGAGTGCTGTATAGGACATCCGCCATTCTATGAGTCTGCTGTGTATCTCGCTTCCCATGTTGGATCGCTCTCCCCTTTATTCTATCGGTTAGTATTAGCAGGCACTAGACTTGTTTATGTGATCCCTTTGACTCTTAGTCCTTTCATTATGATCAATTGTGAACTGAAATTGATCACTTGAACTAGTGAGATGGCATTGATACATGCCACCTTGATGGGATTGAATTGGAATCCCCTGGTATGTTTCTAACTCTACCATTTGGGGCAAGTCACCTTGAGCATGTCCCAAATTGTACATCTCTTCCCACTCTTATTCCCACTCTTACTTATATTTAACAGGGATCACATTTCAGTTAAATTTCAACACTTAAGAATAACTGTGTATTAATTACAGAATTAAACAAGTAGTATTAAGTAGAACAGACAAAAAAACTACTAAGAGGGATAATGTATTAAGTTGTTCATTAACAGTCAGGGCTATGTTGATCAAGTCACCATTTCTCATAGTGTCCATTTCACTTCAGGAGGTTTCCTTTTTGGTGTTCAGTCAGTTGTCACCGATCAGGGAGAACATATGATATTCGTCCCTTTGGGGCTGGCTTATTTCACTCAGCATGATGTGTTCCAGATTCCTCCATTTTGTTGCAAATGACTGGATTTCATTGTTTTTTACTGCTGTATAGTATTCTAAAGAGTACATATCCCATAATTTCTTTATCCAGTCTACCGTTGATGGGCATTTAGGTTGGTTCCAGGTCTTAGCTATTGTGAATTGAGCTGCAATAAACATTAGGGTGCAGACCACTTTTTTGTTTGCCAATTTAAATTCCTTTGGGTAAATTCCAAGGAGTGGGATGGCTAGGTTGAACGGTAGGGTTATATTCAGGTTTCTGAGGAATCTCCAGACTGACTTGCATAGTGGCTTGACCAGTTTGCATTCCCACCAACAGTGGGTTAGTCAAGATCAGGACTTAAAAGTGAAAGCATCTCCATCCCCATTGCTTAGCCCTATTTGCAAATGGATTAAGTGGAGCTCTCTTTATTATTTTTGTAATAGTGCTGCAGCTTAGCTGTATGGCCATGGCTGAGGCCCACACTTCCCTGGATTGTTTCCTACACAGCCTGGACCAGCACTTAGATAACTGGGGATGTAGTGGGAGAGGCAGCAAGACACCCTGGGATGGAAAGCCCAACCACAGATTCTCCCTTCCTTTCCTGGACTGGTTTTACCACTTAACTTCCTAGTTAACCTGGTTTCTGTTTCTAAACATTGGACCTGATTATGGCAACTCTGCTGCCCCTTGATGGATCGGTGGATGGACAACGCTCATGTCAGAGGCATTTAGAAAGCTAGAATAGAGGACAGAGACAAATGTCCTGAGCTGGAGAGGAACTTGCAATCCCAGACTGACCTTAATTCACAGGCGTTAACTCAAAGTCCGTGGTGTAGGCTTTTCCCAGATCTTGGGTCAGAAAGAGCGGGCAGCCTCCTTCGGAGCAGACAGCAATGAACCAGCCAGGGAAGGCCACGGACTCGAAGGTTGAGGTCCTGCCACTCTTACTGTGGTAGAAGAGAAAGGGCTTCACAGGCTCGGGGTGGTGGTACAGGGTCATGATGTTCTTGTCCTAAAGGGTGAGAAACAGAGAGAAGCAAAACCATGTGAGTTGTTCCACAGCCTTTATGTACCGATATTTCTGATCTGAGATAGCATTCCCCGTTCCCTAAAACAGGCCCAGAGACTTCAGATGATACTATGGCTTTAAAAAAAATCATACTCTCTAAATACGTCTATGTTTGTTTAGATTATAACTGAAATCTTAGACCACAAATATCAATGAATCTTAATGTGGGACTCTAAAAGATGTTGACCTAGAAGTTTTTGAGAACATAAAGCACTGGCTTAACCAACTCCTATGGATTACAATGGAGAAAGCTGAAGAATCTTTTGATAACAGTGGCCATGAGTTTTAAATTAACTCATAGTTGTTTGTGTCAAGTTCTCCCATGTCGGCATGGTTGACATCCGGGGCAGGATAATTCTTTGTTGCCAGCGGTTGTCCTGTGTGTTCTAGGAGGCTTAGCCGCAACCTGGGCTCTACCCACAAGATGCCAAAAGCATCCCACCTCCTCCAGTTGTGACAACCCAAAAGTATCTCCAGAATTGACGGGGAGCCCAATCACTCCTGGTTGAAAACCACTCTTGCTATCAACTTGTCATCCCACTGAGCATCTGCATATGCTTGTTTTGTGAAAAGGGTCGAGAGAGTCCCTATAACACACAGAGGTCTGCTTTCATTATCTTCCTTTAACTTATATTATTCTTTCCACAATGTAAAATTGCAATTACTAAAATGCTTGTTACAGAGAATCATCTCTGTTTACATAAAATTATAAACTACTTTTTGTCAAAAAGATGTTTTAATACACTCATCCACTTTGTGATGATTAATTGTTAACAACATCCTTGCTGGTTTACAACTGTGTGTGTGTGTGTGTGTATGTGTGCGTGTGCACACTCATGTACTCCCTATTAGAATATTGCTCTATTGGAATTAGGAATAACTCTATAAGTCTCCCTCTTAGACTTCTCATTTTGAGCCAAATTATTTTAATTATTTTTGTAAAATAGAACCAGTGATTTCAGCAGATTAATTGTAAAATAGTCCTATAATTTTCTTACTCTTTCACAATAATGCAATACCCAAAACAAAAATAAATATGCATAAGAATAACAAATAGTCTTATAATAATTCCAAAATCTGAGTTTCTATCAAACAAAGGCTTTGCAAAATAAATGAGTGCCTCTCTCCTAGTCAAGCATCACCATCTCCTGTTGTACTTACCTCCAGCTGCAACATGGGCTGCTCTCTGGTCTTTGTACAGAAGAGGCAAACATCTGGTTTATCCAATCCCAGGTACATGGGTATTCCTTTTTCTGTCTCAAGAGTCTCTGGATATTGGCATGGAATTAAGCTAACAGTGGCTGGGAACACAATGCAGAAAGTAGTGTTCAATTGCTACATATAAAGCAGCATCTCAAAACCAGAGTGGTCACCCCATCACGTACCACCTAACCCAGCCACCCATCCCACTATTGGAGAAATCTTCCCATTACAAAAGTCAGCCTCTTGTGGATTCAAAAACAATCTTTCTTGTAGACCAGGCTCTTCTGTCCCAGTTTTACTTCTTGGAGTTTCACAGAAAAAGCTTTCCACCATTTCCCATAGGCCAACTCTTCATCTCTTTGAGTTGGTCTCTCAGACTTCATGTCCAGCGTCACAGACAACCCCATGATTGCCTCCTATTCATCACTGCCCATGGGAAGCTCCTCTCTTCAACAGGCCCACTTAACAAGACTCCAGTGACACGAAAAACCAAACACAAAGCACTCAAAGCACGTCTGACCACAGGGACTGCCTTTGACAGGCCTTGACCACTCACCTGGAACCATACTGTGCTTCCTTGGCACTGCTGTCAGGGTCTGGTCCTGAACGACCCACACCTGATGATTGAGATCCTGAATGTGCCTCAAGACAGGTGCTGGTGTAGATAATGCTACAGAGAAAGTCAACAGGCAAGTATGTAAAGACGAAGGCACACAATATCCGCCCCCCCTTTCCAATTTTTCACGCTTCCCTGAGGATCTTTACCTTTAGCCATTCTGGTGGTTTCAGAACCGCCAAGAACAGGAGTTGCTTAGGGGCAGACTGACCCCAGGAGAGGACCTGAGTCTGTGCCAAGCTACAGTTTCAGCCCAACAGTGACCTCAGTAGGATTCCAGACTTCCAGACTCACCAGGCTCCTATACATGGATGCAGCCTACTTCCCCGCAGAAGCAGTCACACCTAAGAAATTGATTCAAGCCTAGAACCAGAGCCCTGGGATGATAGAGAGCACCAAGGCCAGAGGCCCAGTAGCAAGAGGAGACCAGAGGTCAGCTGACTTCCCAGCTACAGACTACACCTATGACCTGGGGACAGAGGACGCCGGGTGCCTGCCTTTGAGGGCCACGGCTCCTATTTCACTTGGGTGCTCTGTCAGCCCTCGGCCTTTTATCCACACAGGGAAAGAAGGAGGTTCTGCCTCACTGGGGCTGGGACTGCCCAGCACTCTGGATAATCGCTGGTTCCTGGTACCAAAGGATTTCATGAGTCCTTGTGTGAATAAATGTCAATAGCAGCACAAGTACCCTGAAAAAAGAGGGCACGCCAAGCCTTTAAGAGCAACAACCAGGAAGTGTAGTCACGGAAAGTGAGGAAAGAAACAGAATGGGACTCTCCCAAGGCTGATGACTGGACTCTGATGCCTCAAAATGACAAAATGACAAAATAACTTGGAGGTTATTCCTAAGAGTAAGGGCTCCCAATAGGTGAAAAGTGGACTGGTATGGGTCTCCTACGATCTGTGCAACACCTAACCACTCCTGGTCTGTACTCTCTGTCAGGAAAAGGCTGACCCTACTGGACCCTTCTCCAACATTTCAGAGCTACTGTGCTTCTCTACCAAGGGAACCTCATCTTGAGCAAGGCCATCTCCTGGACACTGCTAGAATATCTTGCCATGACTGGTATTGGGTTTCCCCTGTAGAGAGACTGACGCGAAGTTGTTGATGCTCCATTTCAAACAATCATCCCATCTGAGTTTGTAGATGTTATGGCATATCCCAGCACTTGTCAACTTCAGAACTCTAGAGCTTGCATCTCAAGAGAAACTTCAACAGAGAAGGGGCTGGTAGATAAATGTCTCGGCTCCTCATCTTATGGTGAGACAATGCTAAAGTTTTATAAGGGATCCCCAGTGAGTTTCAGCCCCAGTAGCTTTAACAGTAACCAGCTCACTAACATTGCCTTTATTGCCTTCTCTAAGATTGTCTACTAAATGAGCTCCCTGAACTCAGGGTCTGCCTTAAAGAGAACCCAAACTAAGATAATAGTTTATTGTACAAAAACAAGAGACTTGTATGCAAAAGATGTACATTCAGAGTTAGGCTTTGCAACTTTTGGAGTTGTATATGTTTTCCATATTCAAAGTGTGGTCTATGGATGGTGCATTGTCATCATCTGGCATCTTGTCAGAAATGCAGAATTTCAGGTCCTACCCCAGACCTTCAGAATGGGGATTTGAGACAATGAAGAATTTAAAAAACTATTATATGTTCTGTGCTGAAACTGCACACACCCCTGCTCAGTAATGTAGTCATACCAGCACAGAAAGAAAGAGATCAGGGCTTAGGGTGTGCCTGCACCTGGGCAAATGACAATTCATGAGATCTAGACCAACCTTTGTCTTTCTACAATATCTAGATACCATAGAATGGGCTGTGTTCGCACAAAGCAAAGGGGAAGAGGGAGAGATAAAGAAAAGTAGCCACTGGTGGAAGACTGTGGCCATAGATGGGTCCTCACAAGGATTTTTCACCTTGAATACCCATAACTCTGTTGAGTTGAGCTTTCAACATGCATTTGGTTTAATGTAGTCCACATCATTCCACAAGAGGCAAAAAGAAATCCTCTCTAGAGGATGGCAAAGATATTCAACTAGATTTCTAAATGCACAAGTCACATGAATTGAGGATTATTAGGTAAACAAGTAAACAAAATCACAAAAACAAGAATAGAAGAAGAAAGGAAAGAGGATGGAGAGGAAGAGGAGGAGGAGGTGAAGAAAGACAAGGAGGAGAAGGAGGAGGAGGAGAAAAGGAAAGGATTGAAAAGGAGAAGGAAAGGTAGAGAGAAAGAAAGAAAAGGAAGAAGAAAGGAAGGAAGGAGAAAATGAAGAAGAGGGAAGAAGTGAAGAGAGAGAGAAGAAAGCAAAACAAGACAGCAGAAGCAGATATCTATAAAGATTTCAAATTTTATGATTATTATACAGAGTTCAATGTTAATATCTTATGCATGGTTAAGAAAAGATGAACATGAAAATATTTTTCTGAAAAAGAAAACTATGGAAAGTGATAGGTTGAAGGAGTCAAACACCACCTCAGTAACTATATAATACATCAAATAAGCCGATAGCTGTATTTAGCAGCAGAGAATACACAGTTGAAAAGAGAATTAGTAAATTGGAGGATAAATGAGAAGAAATCAAGATTGCAGGGCAGACACAAAAAAGAAGGAAAATACAGAAGAAAGTGAAAAGAGGTGGAGAATAAGTCCCAAGAAGGACAAAAAATAATACAGAGTCATTATTTGAACTGAGAATAGCTTCAAATGGACAATGACACCCATTCGCAGATTCAAGAAACAAGAGCCAGCTTGAAGACGGTTGAATAGGGTGTAGCCACACTAACTTCAGCTGCTCGGGGGTATCAAAAGAACAAAGGAAAGACCACATCTCCAGGGGCTGACTGACGGAAATTTTCAGCCAAGAACTGAAAAAAAAAAAACAATGAAGACTCTATGGGACTAGACAAGAGAAGACACAGACACTTCTGTGGACAGGAAGAAACTGCCCTGTGCCACACTGCTCAGTTTTAGCTAAGAGGGAGTTCCACAGTCACCCCATCACTTTTACTTCATCGTGGGGAGCTGACTGGAGTCTGAACAACTACTGGCTTCGAGCAGCAATGCCACTCTGCCTCCTTCACCTACACCACTCCTGCAGAGCACCATACTCAACAGAGAAAAGTCAGGCAGTGCTCCGCTGTTCCCCTACCAGAACCAGGCTCAGCATCAGGAGGAGACGCCATCTTCTTAAAGAGAAATGAGAGGAGACTGCGGCAGCCTGTGTCACTGGTGATATTGCCTGAGGGAGAGCCTTGTGGATCACACGGACTTTGAGTCCAGCCTGGAGTGCTGGGGGGGGAGGGGTGCAGGGTGCTCACCTAAACCCATGAGGTAAGAACACATTGTCTGCTTCCCGTGCTCCCCACAAGGGGTCCCAGCACATAGCAGGGAGAAAGCACCATCTTAAAAAGGGGAATAGGCTGCCACAGCTCGTGTGCATGTGACGAGGGGATATTATCGGAGGGATAAATCTGTGGTCCCCACTGACTTTGAGTCTGGCCTGGAGGGTTGGCAGGGGCTGGGGTGCCCACTTAACCCTGTGAGGCACTCTTGTCCCGTCTATATCACTGGTGCCTATACTCAGATTGCCAGGGTGGAACACTGACAGGCTGGATCTGGGAATGCCTCAGCTCTCTCCACAGATGGAGCAGCCCTGTGGGGCTGGGAGCTGACCCCTGTTCCCTGTGACTGTAGGAGCTTTGTGCACTATGACTGCGGGAATTCTGACTGCATGATAGGGTGTGGAAGGTAGCTGGGTCTCTGGACAATCACTTGTCTGGCTTTAGAGACTCAGAGTTCCCTAAGTGCCTAGAGTGGGTAACTGCAGAGGGTTCAGTGCTCACCCTGAGGACCACACAGATCCTTCGTGTGGTTCTTGCAAATGCATGAGTGGGATGTGTAGTCACTGAGGGCTTGCTGTGGGCATTGATCACCTTGGCAGAGAGGAGGTGAGACAGTAATCACACCAGCCAACATGATCATACTCTCCCCTCTGCTAGCAACAGAGGAGATCTACCACAGCCAACTTAAGTGTCACCATGGACTCTTGTATGACCCCAAGCATTGCCCAGAGCTCACTGGCCCCACCATCATGCACCTCTGAATATCCACTGAAGGAGCAGACATTCTACTAAGCCACGGAAGCGTATTTTAAAGATAAAAGCCATCAAAGGAGAAAACCGACAAGTGGTTCCACAAGTGCCTAAAAATAAACATACAAACACGAGAAACATAAATAAGGAAGACAATGACTCCCCCAAAGGAACACAACAACAATTCAATATTAAAATGTGAAGACTAAGAGTTTGATGAAATGCCTGAAAAGGAATTTAAAAGATTGATCATAAGATTACTCAAAAGCAATAAGAAACAAATTCATGACTTAAAGAAATCCATGAGGGGCCGGCATTGTGGTGCAGTAGGTTAAGCCACCACCTGCAGTGCCAGCATCCCATGTGGGAGCATTTATGTCCCTGCTGCTCCACTTCTGATCCAGCTCCCTGCTAGAGTGCCTGGGGAAGCAGTGGAAGATGGCCCAAGTCTTGGCCTTGTACCAGACTGAGAAGCTCATGGCTCCTGGATTTGGACTGGCCTAGCTCCAGACATTGTGGCCATTTTGAGTGAACCAGCAGATGGAAGATATTCTCTCTCTCTCTCTCTCTCTCTCTCTCTCACTGTGTGTGTGTGTGTGTGTGAGTGTGTGAGTGTGTGAGTATGTGTGTGTGTGTCTGCCTCTCCCTCTCTGGAACTCCAGCTTTCAAGTCAAATAAATAAATCTTAAAAAAAAAAAAGAAATCCATGAAATTTTTTCCATGAGATAGATTCTGAAGAAAAATCATAATGAGATATTTGAAATGAAGAATTCAATGTGTCAAATAAAAAATACAGTGAAAAGCCTTAACAATAGACTTGGTGAGGCAGAAGAAAGAATATCCAAACTAAAAGATAAATATTTGGAAATGACTCAAAAGAAAAAGAAGAAATGAGAAAAATTTAAAATATTGTTCAATATTTATGGGATACTATCAAATGACTAACATTTGTATCTTAGGAGTTTCTGAATGTTTGGAAATAGAGAATAGGTTAGAAGGCCTATTCAGTGAAATAATAATAGAAAACAGACATCTGAGTACAGGAAGAACACAAAACTTTTAATAGACATGACCAGAAAAGATCTTCACCATGATACCACAGAAATAAAAAAAAATCATCAGGAATTATTGCAAACAGTTATATGACAACAAATTAGAAAATCTAGAAAAAATGGATATATTTCTAGACACATAATATCTACCAAAATTGAGTCATGAAGATACAGAAAACATAAGTAAACCAATAACCATGATGGAAATTGAATCAGTAATAAAGACCCTCCCAATAAAGAAAAGCCCAGGACAGAATATTTAAAGAAAAACTAATTCTAACTCTTCTCAAATTATTCAAGACAGTTGAAAGGAAGAGAATACTCCCAAATTTCTTCTATGAGGCCAGCATCACCTTAAGTCCAAAACCAGAAAAAGATACAACAAAAAAATAGAACTATAGACCAATATCCCCTGATGAACATAGATGCAAAAATCTTCAGCAAAATACTAGCTAATCAAATCCAACAACACATCAGAAAGATCATTAACCTGGACCAAACGGGATTTATTCCTAGGATGCAAGGATGGTTCAATATTTGCAAGTCAATAAATGTGATACATCACATTAACAAATTGAAGAATAAAAACCATATGATTATCTCAATAGATGCAGAGAAACTTTTGATACAATGCAACGTCCTTTTATGATAAAAACCTTAAGTTTGGGTTAAGTTGGGTATACAAGGAACATTCCTTAATGTAATCAAGGCAATATATAACAATCCCGATATGGGGAAAATTTGGAAGCATTTTCACTAAGATCCAGGACCAGAAAAGAATGTCTACTTTCACCATTGCTATTCATTGTAGTTTTGGAAGTTTTATCCAGGCAAGAAAAAGAAATCAAAGTGATACAAGTTGGAAAACAGGAAGTCAAATTATCCCTGTTTGCAGATGACATGATCCTATTTATAGGGAAACCAGAAGTCTACTAAGAGACTATTGGAACTCATAAGAGAGTTTTATACAGTTGCAGAATATAAAATCAATACACAATAATCAATATTCTTTTTGTTTGTTTGTTTTTGACAGGCAGAGTTAGACAGTGAGAGAGAGAGACGGAGAGAAAGGTCTTCCTTTTTCCGTTGGTTCACCCCCCAAGTGGCTGCTATGGCCAGCACACTGCGCTGACCCAAAGCCAGGAGCCAGGTGCTTCCTCCTGGTCTCTCATGTGGGTGCAGGGCCCAAGGACCTGGGCCATCCTCCACTGCCTTCCTGGGCCACAGCAGAGAGCTGGACTGGAAGAGGAGCAACCAAGACAGAACCAGCGCCCCAACTGGGACTAGAACTTGGGGTGCTGGCGCTGCAGGTGGAGGATTAGCCTAGTGAGTCGTGGCGCCAGCTCAATATTCTTTGTATACACAGACAGTGCCCTGGCTGAGAAACAACTTGTAAGATCACAATAACTATAAAAAATTTAAATACCTTGGAATAAATTTAACCAAGGAGGTAAAAGATCTTTACAATGAAAATTAGAAATAAAAGAAGACACAAAAAAGGAACAATTTTGCATGCTCATGATTTGAGGATTTAATATTATCAAAATGTCCATACTACTGGAAGCAATTTACAGATTCAATGCAATTCCAATCAAAATACCAATGACATTCTTCTCAGATCTACATAACACATGCTAAAATTCATATGGAAACACAAGAGTCCCTGAAAAGCTAAAGCAATCTTACACAACAAAAACAAAGAAGGAAGCATCACAACACCAGACTTCAAGACATACTACAGGGCAGTTATAATCAAAACAGCCTGGTACTGACACAAAAATAGACACGTAGACAATGGAACAGAATAGAAATCCCAGAAATTGATCCACACATCTATAACCAATTAATCTTTGACAAAAGAGCTAAAATCAATCTCTGGAGAAAGGATAGTCTCTTCAACAAATGGTGCTGGGAAAATTGGATCTCCACATGCAGAAGTATGAAAAAGACCCCTACCTCACACCTTATACAAAAATAAACTCAAAATGGATGAAGGAGCTAAATCTATGAACGTTATGCCATCATATTATTAGAGTAAAACATTGGGGAAGCTCTGCAAGACACTGGCAAAGTCAAAGGCTTCTTGGAAAAGAGTACAGGCAATCAAAGCAAAAATAGACAAATGGGATTACATTGAGCTAAGAAGCTTCCACCATCCAAAAGAAAACTCTCAAAAAAGTGAAGCAACCAATAGAATGGGAGAAAATATTTGCAAACTGTGCAACTGATAAATGATTACTATCCAGAATCTATAAAGAGTTCAATAAACTCAACAACAACGAAACAACCCAGTTAAGAAACGGGCAAGGGGCTGGTGCGGTGGCGCACTAGGTTAATCCTCCACTTGTGGCACTGGCCCATATGGGCACCAGTTCTAGTCCTGGTTGCTCCTCTTCCAGTCAAACTCTCTGCTGTGGCCTGAGAAGACAGTGGAGGATGGCCCAAGTGCTTGGGCCCCTGCAGCCACATGCGAGACCAAGAAGCAGCACCTGGCTCTTGGCTTCAGATCGGTGTAGCTCTGGCTGTTGTGGCTATTTGGAGAGTGAACCAATGGAAGGAAGACCTTTCTCTCTGTCTCCCTCTCTCACTGTCTGTAATTCTACCTGTCAAATAAATAAATAAAATCTTTTAAAAAAAGAAATGGGCAAAGGACATGACTCAACAACAGCAGAAGTCAGAAGATAAAATGCTGAAAGGCAGTACAATGATATCTCAAAACACTGAAAGAAAAATCTAATGGAATTCTATACTCTGCAGTATTTCTTTGCAGATTAAATGCACACCAAAAACATACTCAAAAACTCAGAATTCATCACAGGCAGAGGCTCTTTTAAGGGAATAATGAAGGAGCTTCAAGCAGAGAATTGACAGTGGAGAAGTCTATGCTTCCTGAGAAACAGTTCTTTTTTTCCTTTTTTAAAAAAGGTTTATTTATTTCAAAGGTAGAGGTATATATAAAGGGAGAGACAGAGGTCTTCCATCTGCTGGTTTGCTACCCAAATGGCTGCAACAGCCAGAGCTGGACTGATCCAAAGCCAG